TATAGGGTTTCCTGCCTAGGCAGGAGGTTGGACTAGAAGACCTTCAAGGTCCCTTCCAACTCTGCTATTGTATTGTGTAAATAACAGAACAAGAGTGAAATTATTGATGACTTTGCTGTTCCAGGATTTATGCCATGATGGTTACTTTTACTTATTTCAATTCTGTTCCTTAATTCTGTAGCAAATGGGCCTTTATGTCATAATCTCCAAATAACAGGTCTGTCATTTAAGGTGCCGTGATTAGATTTTGGTTAGCCAATGGACTTTTAGAAGAAATGCCCTTCCATATCTCTGAATATTCAAGTTTGCTACCAAGGGTGTGTGTATCTTTTTACTTCTTGGGGCAGTTCTGTCAGCAGAAAGATCCCCTGGCCCCTGTGTCAATTCTGGAAGTCAGAAGCCCAACGCTTCTGAAGGATGTCAAGTTGAAAATCTAGAGTAACCTCTATTATCTCCCTCGTTTTTAATCTCTCTGACTTGCCCTGCAGAATATTTTGCTTAACAGATGCACTATACAGGTTGAAATTACCATTTATGAAGACAGAGGCGTGAGCAGTGGAAGATAAACCTTTCGACGTCGAAGGTAAACATTACGAACATGTAACCGTTGAGCTTGAATCGTGCTTCATCAAGACCTCCCTATCCAAAATGCTACTTACCTGACTCCTCTATTAACACTTGAAGGAATAACACCTCTCATGGTATCCTAAGTACATTAGACATTATATGTCCCTCATAACTGATAACATCTAGAAGTTTCAAATCAAAAGCCCGAAGTTCTAGTATAATAATGTACAACAGGGGTGTCAAATTCAAGGCTCGCAGGCCGGATCTGGCCTACATGGTGCTTAGATCTAAACAGCAAAGGACTAGCCTGCGGTGCCTCTGCCAGCGAAAATGGAGCTTCATTTGCTAGCAGAGAGCTAGCAAAACAAACTAAAAACAAAGCAAAAGGAGAAATATTTCCCCTTTTGCATTTGAGTATCCAAGAAGGGTCAGAAAAGGAAGAAAGAGGAAAGACAAAGAAAAAGGAGGAAAAATAAAGAGGTGAAGGAGGAAGAAAGGCTAAGGAAGAGAGAAGGAAGGAAAGAAGATTATAATGAGGGAGGGTCTGAGGGAAGTCCTGCCTTAGCACTTGGCCACCACAGGTGCCCCCGACAGCAACGTCGAGTTGGCCACACCCACCACAGCTATGCCGACCCCACCTCCCTGAGGTGAAACACAACCCCAAATGCAGCCCTCAATGAAATCTCTGGGTAATGGGCGTCTTTATTTCAAAGCAACGCAAAGATTGCTTTTATTTTCTTCTAACCACGTACATACACATACCTACATGGTGACTCAGTGGCTGAGGCACTGAGCTTGTCGATCAGAAAGGTCGGCAGTTCAGCGGTTCAAATCCCTAGTGCCGCATAATGGAGTGAGCTCCCGTTACTCCCCCCAGCTTCTGCCATCCTAGCAGTTCGGAAGCATGTAAAAATGCAAGTAGAAAAATAGGGACCACCTTTGGTGAGAAGGTAACAGCGTTCCGTGCGCTTTT